ACGATTTATCGTTGCGATTTAACTGCACAGTTCGGATGTGCAGAACATCATTTAGTTGTTGGCTACAACTGTCAGTCAAATCTAGCTGACAAAAAACTGTTAATTTATATTTTTGATTGGCACTTCGATGTTGGTAATATTGATACTAAAACAATATAATTCCAAGACACGGTAGCCGAGTCACTTCCATATGACTTCGGTGATAGAAATATTGTTAATAAACCAAATTAATCTAAGAAAACGCAGCTATTTCGAAGTGACCCACTTCGCTAATATAAAAGTAAATTGATTTTCCTTCTGTTCGTACGCTATAACAAAACTGCATTAACATGAGAACGAATTCCTTTTAAGCTGTCGTGTTGAATATACCGTAGTTAGATACCATAGAATTATTCTGGTTAATACCTGGTGAATAATATAAATAATGACAACGATTTATACCTAATAAATCGTTATCATTGTGTCATGTCATTAATTATTATATTATGTATTTTACCATGGTATATGACGTTATAAATTTGAAAGTTTAAAAAAAATCGTTTTGTTAGCGCTGTTTTATTGCAGCGTATGAACAGAAAGGAAATCAATTTATTTATTACATTATTTATATTATTGACATTTGGAAACTGCATTCAATCATTTGATACAACCAAAAATAATGAAAAATTATTTATATATCTATCTAACTGTGCAAAATATAAATATGTGACGACATAAAAATATAAAATTTTTATACCTGTCATTTGAAACCAAAAAATTTGCATCAATTTCCATACATATATGTTCTAGACTCTCGTATTTGACTTAGTCCATCAGCATGTCGTCGGTTAAATAGAAAAATAGCAGTATTCAAAATGTATATTTTTTACAAGACAAGCATGTAAAGTTTTTTTTTTAATTTATTTAAATTATTTTTTCCTTTAACGTTTTAAATTTACACATAAGTATTATATATAATTTTAAAAGTATTTAGATAGTGATTAAGACGGCGTGGTTAATTTAATTGACTTATATAAAGGAAGGCAATTCTTCTAATTTTGAAAAATGTAATTTTTCTATTTAATCTGTGGTATATATGTTCGAGTACACCGTATTCATCACGTCTGAGAGAGTGAGACGTTGTTAATAATAATAATAATCTCAGGACAATTCACACAGCGCCATCTAGACCCAAGTTATGGGTACTAGATAACTGATACAAATACATAGATATTTTTTTTCGTAAATACATACATATTATATATAGAAAATACCCAGACCGATACAAACAATCATACTCATAATAATCATTTGTGCCGTGCAAGGAATCGAACTCGCGACCATCGAACGTAAAGCGGTGTGCTAGACCGCTAGATCACCGAGGTCGTCGAGAAATCTGCCTATAGATTCGATTAATCGGTCTAAATCGATTGCGCGGCCAAATCGCAACGATAAATCGTTATCGTATGCACCGAGCGTTAGAAAACTAATATAAGTTTAATAGAAAGTAATAAGTTTATTAGATAGACAGATATTTTTTTTATTAACTTTAAAGGCACAAGCATATAAGACACAATGTGAACTTATTCCTAGGAAACTCATACCTACTTGAAGATGACACCGCCTCCGTCGCGGCTCGACGCACATCGCTGGTTTTGAATGATGAACGAGATAGACTATTTACCAGTCTTGCGGTTACAGCATCGCTCTAAGGCCGATAATGTTTTTATAAGTAACTAGGTTCTCGCCCCGACTGCACCCGAAAATTTTCTCTAATATCTTAATAATACGCGAAAGTTCGTAGGTATGGATGTTTGTTACTTTTTCACGCAGAAACTACTGAACGGATTTTCATGGAACTTTGCAGTAATATAGCTTATGTATCAGAATAACACATAGGCTATATTTTTTTATTGAAATTTATGTATTTAAATGTAACGCGGTTGAAACCGCGGATACAACTAGTCTATAATGTAAGTCATGTGAGTGATTAATAGACAAGGTGTACTTACCTTCCGATGGTAGCGAGGTCGATCTTCGCTCATCTATATATATAAATAAAATTGGAGTGTCTGTTTGTAATATTGAAACAACCGTTTTTTACTACATGCATATGAATATAAATACGGTACATACACCAAAATAACAATTTTTACAGTTTTTGTCTGTCTGTTTGTTCCGGGTAATCTCTGAAATGGCTGGACCGATTTTGACGGGACTTTTTTTGGCAAGTAGCCGATGTAATAAGGAGTAACTTAGGCTACTTTTATTTTAGAAAAATAAAGTTAAATTCAGCGAGTTATAAATATAAGCATTTATATGTATATCTGTTTGTATTAGTTTGGGTACTCTTCAATATATATCTATTCTTATATTATAAACTAGCGCCTTCGTTATATTCATCGAGAATACATCAGCGTGGAATATAACTTCTTTTTATTAAAATAAATACAAAAAAAATGAAAGTAAAGTCACTTACTCTTTATAAAATTATCTTCGAGTGAAAGTCTCATCAAAATCGGTCCAGCCTTTTGAGACATTAGCAGGAACAGAAAAACAAAATTTTTTAAATTAATTTTTGATATACTTGTAAGTACCGTATATATTTACTTTCATAAGCGAACATGGAAAATTTATATATATATATATATATATACAGAAACTACTAGCGTACGAATATACACAAACAGACTAGCGTTGTTATAAAAAAACATCATGGGCTTTTTTATACCGTTTCCTTTTTATAATGGACCTGCATTTTCACAATTAAGTATGTAATTTTCTGTTTGTAAAACAAAAAATATGGAGTTTTATAATAATCATTACAATCAATTTATCTTAACCTTTTCCTTACGTATTAGGGGAAGGACCGTCGTTTTCCTTTTTCAAAAGAATTTCATATTAATGTAAAGCAAGGCGATGCAATGTGGTGATGACTCAATTTCTGATTATAAGAGCTCATTTCAATGATTATTTGTATTGGGATTTCCTGATAGCGTCTAATTTATTATTGTCCTTTGTGTAACCTGTTTTTTTTTTATGTTTATTCAATATTTTAGGACTTTGGTAGTCTAGCCGTCTAATCTAATCTAATCTAGTCTATATATTTATATAAAATTCTCGTCTTACACTTCTCCGATTTGCTTAACCGATTTTGATGAAATTTTAAATGCATATTTAATAGATCTGATAATAGGTTGTTATATTTTTTTACCCCTAAGTGATAAGGGTAGCTTACCTCAAAAATTTGTTATTTCTATTTTTGAACAATTTTTTTTATAGTTTGCCATTAAAAACACATAGGACCCAATATTTTCATCCCTCTACTATGAATCCCTATTTTTTAATACGGATACTAATTTATATGGCAAAACATTTGTGGCGAATTAACTATTATCGCGCGGCAACACCGTTGCCTAGTTACGACAGACGAATAGAATAACAAGCTTATCATTCGAGACCGAATCACTTTCTTGTACATACCTATATATTCATTGTAAATATTTCGTAATTATAAATATGTACATAACAACAATCTCGACTCATCATTTCACCTCCTTCTTTCCCGCTGTTGCTACAAGAACACAACATAAACACAAATAATAGCGGTAACAATATAGACGCTAAACATTGTTTGCCGGTTCAGCCAGTAATTTCAAATTTTGGCAGAAATACCAGACTAAGCTAAAGTGGCATGTTTATTTTTTAGACACTCATTCAGACGCTTATAACCCGATATTTGACTTCTTAGTTAGCTACCAAACATTAAAATTAAAAGTGTAAAAATGACACTGACAGTCAAATATTTTGATTGTAACGGTGCGGTATATTTTTGATAAACTCTACAGCATGTTGAGAATATTTATTTACATATAACATAATGTACAATAATTGTTGAATAAATAAACAGGTAAATAGTTTCACAATCATAGCTAATTATTATAAAGTCAAATTCTATATTATATGTTCATAAAAATTCCCAGACCAATACAAATACTTACAAATGTTTCCATGCAAGAAATGCAGGTGGTCACTCTATTCTCCCAAATTTGAATTTAAAAATGAATTTGTATTTTTGTAAACTTGTACAAGCTCATTTTAAAATAATAAGAGCTAAGTTTTTGTCGGTTCTTCTCAGCTCGAAAACAGTCCGAACTGACGGTAGATTTGATATATCATAAGAGTCTGTCATAGACCTACATGAATAAAGATCTTTCAGTTCATCTCATTTCAAAAGCACTCCGAACTGACGGTAGATTTGACATATAAGAGTCTGTAATAGACCTACATAAATAAAGATATTTTTATTTTTATTTTGAATTGAACACGCGACCATAGTAAAACAGTGATGATCTAACCGCTAGTCCATTGCCATCGTCGTTCCAAGATTAGTTGTCTACATTTGTTTTTATTTTAATTTTATGATGTTGTTTGCTTTTATGATATTAAATTTATTTTTAGTACCGTCATATGTTGCATTACAAGAGATACTATATCTTGCATTATAAGACAACACTATATATACTGTGTTTTCTGAACAATATTATAAATATTCAATTTGCAATAAAAACTATATAATTAACTTTGTTTATATTTTTGTTTCTTTTTAAATGATCTATCTATTTAGGCTTATTAATAGACTAGACGACGACCTCGGTGGTCTAGCGGTCTGGCACACCGCTTTATGTGCGATGGTCGCGGGTTCGATTCCTCGCACGACACAAACATTTATATTCATGAGTATGGTTTGTATTGGTCTGGGTGTTTTCTATGTATGATATGTATGTATTTAAGAAAAAAAATCTATATATTTGTATCAGTTGTCTAGTACCCATAACACAAGCTTTAGCTAGCTTAACTTGGGTCTAGATGGCGCTGTGTGAATTGTCCTGAGATTCTTATTATTAGAATATTCAACATACGTGTCTCAGATAAGAAGATATGCAGTTTCTTGTTAGCTAATTGGATTCCTCGAGATTATTATTATTATTATTATTATATAACAGATTCTCTTTTTTCAGACAATGCTGAAAATTGGTGGCGGCGCGTTGCTGGTAGCAGCTATTGTCGCCGTCTTCATTGTCGCCACACAGGGTCGTGATCCAGAATTAGAAGCCTTAGAGCATGAAGGCAGTGACTATATATTACAATTAGACAAAGCTTCCGGTTTAAGGAAGAATCTAGCAAGTAAAGCCGAGTGGGATTACACTGCTAATATAACGAAGGAGAATGAGGAGAAATGGGTTAGTTTTATTATTTATTAGCTGTATGCCGTGATGATGCTCGCGTGGATGCATCCTTATATTACTGGCTGATAATGATCAGTAGCTTTTTTAAAATATCAACTGCCAAGTTACATTCTCGTTCTTTTTGTGATGTAGAAGCAAAACTATTATGATTGTTCAAATATGATTACATTAAATTTATCTGAATAACAGTTTATTTCTGTTTCTATTGAAGGATAAAGATATGTAAATCTTTAAATCAATCTGTAGATTTTATCAATTAGAAGAAACGCCACTACACATCTTATTTGTCTATATCCCTCTCATGCATAAACGCAGTATCTCCATTGAAACGTATACATTATATACTGGGGAGATAGAAACCATCGCTCCTAAGAATATCCTTCAATTCTTGTCCTTGACTGGCCTAGCTTGGTAACTTTAAAAAAGGCCGAGCATAATAGATCTATGCAAGTCACAGTGTTACAGCTTAGCACCGGAATAGACCAAGACTCTTCAATAAAAAAAAACTCTTTAAATTCCAGATACAACTCCGATTAGAATTATCAAAACTCGAGAAACAAGCGTGGGAGGAGACGAAGATGTACAAATGGCAGATATTCCAGGACAACTCGCTGAAGAGAATGTTCAAGAAGTACTGCGAGTTGGGCGTATCAGCACTACCAGATGACAAGTACAAACAACTCATGAAATCTGTGTCGGGAATGGAATCCAACTATGCCACATCCAAAATATGCTCGTTCAAAAACGAAACGAAATGTGATCTGTCTTTAGAACCAGGTATGTTGGATTTGCGAAATGCGATGAATAGGCCTGATGCAATGCAATGTAAATATAAAATTACACACAAAAGATTGTGTGTAATGTTATATTTGCATACTTTTACTTTATGCTACGACAGTGGCAAATAAGTTACGGCCCATCTGAAGGTAAATGGTTACTGTAGTTTATGGATCCCTGAAATATCAAGGATGTTGTGCGTGTTGCCGACCTTAGGAAATCGTCACCTTCTTGAAATCCCCATCCTGTAGTCCCTTAGCAGGTAGTTAATTCAACAATCTAAGTGTAACTTTGAAACAGCACTGTCCGAGACCAATTTGGTTCCAGAGTATAGCGATAAATTTCCTGTCGATGGCGAATATTGCGATGTAAAAGGTAGCCGTAGGCATCATGTAGAATAATTCCTCAGAACACAGTGCATTATAATTATTAGCTGACCCAGCAAACATTGTTTCGCCATATAAATTAATCAGTTGTCGACTGCCAAGGGTACAATATTATTAAAGTACTAATATCGCTATTAAAAATAGGAGTTAAGGTAGAAGGGTAGAAACTTAGGGATGTATGTATTTTTTAATTCCGATCACTTAAGGGGTAAGAAAAAACTTTACCACCTTTTTATTTATTTTAATATTAAAAGAATTCATAAGTTAATGAACTTCAAAATATTATATAATAGTGAATTCAAATGATTAATATTAATATCTAGTATTATTTAAATAATATACATACCAAACTTAACATTTTAAATTCACTATCATTATATAATATTTTCAATCGTTCAACAAGTTATTAGAGAAGACTGACATCATTCACGATAAAAAATATGATTCGCAGAAATTACGGAGATCTTTGCAAAAAGTCAAGACCCTGAAGAACTCAAGCACACGTGGATAGAGTGGCACAAAGTAGCCGGGGCTAAGGCACGCGATAATTTTACACAGTATGTGCAACTGTACAATGAGGCCGCCAAACTCAATGGTAAGAATATACTAGATACTAGACTTACACGTGACATCGTCTGGTTTTTTTAAATAAAAGATACGTCTAGGTCCATCCTCGTTCTGCAATATATATCCACGTTAAATTTCAGTTAAATTAGTTCAATCAAACATTTTTTCGAATTTAAAATTTAAAACAATGGATACGATATCGTGGTAATATATAACATGAAATGTTGAGAAAAACCAATAAGTAAAATTTGTAACAAATCCAATAATTTAAATAAATTTGTATCTATGAATTATCTAACGATAATTAGATTAATCTTAGTACTAGTTAGTGGTCGCCCAGTCGTCGATATTCGACTATAATAAATTTAATATTCAGTAAGACTATTCTCAATTTGACCACAGACTTTAACAATAAACAAAAGAGTGTATATATGCATGAGTGTGTCAACTACCCATGTAATCTACACTACCGTTAATGTTTTTTTTGTTGTATAATGTATTTCTATGCATAAATTAAAAAATATTATTATTCTGAAAATTATTGGCACTTCTTCTTTGTGTATTATAAACTGCGAGATTTCATACTTCTCCGTCTGCGCATTATTCGTAAAAAAGGGTACAAAGTTTTTACTTTACGAAAGTTTCATATTGGTTTGTGATTGGGATGATTATGAGGAAGAGAATAAGACATAAATAATCAATATTATAGTAATAGTTTCAATCATATAGTGTTTTAAATTAATTTTGTGTCCTTAAATAACATTTTTTTTAGAAAGTATATGGAAAGGTAAGGTATTAATTGAAATGCCTTATTAATGAAAATAGTTTAGTTATAAAATGAATGTGAACAAGAAAATAATGAACAAGTAGTTTCATTAGAAAACAATACTACTACTGAAATTGTTCCAGATGTAATCAGTGATGCTACTATTATAAAGCCAAATTCAAGTAAACATAATAACATCACGATAACATCATAAAAATTAATTAAGTGTTTTAGAATATAGGTTGCTACCTGAGGACAATTTTAAAAGATTTTATATATATCTGGAAAGATTAATTAATTAACAACCGACTGTACTTAATAAAATGAAGACGATATTAGGTATTAGTCTAATAAAAATAAAATTCATTTTAGATTACAAAGATGTGGCTGATTGGTGGCAGGCTGATTATGAAGTACCTGACTTTGAGGATCAGCTCGCAAAACTGTGGGAGGATGTGAAACCTTTGTATCAACAGATGCATGCGTATGTAAGAAAGAAGTTAAGAGACAAATACGGTGAACATATTGTATCAATGAAAGGACCAATACCAGCGCATTTATTAGGTAAGTAGTGGTGACATCGAGTTCATAAGCGTGTAATCCATGCCATCTATTGTCAAAATCAAAATAAAAAAATATTTGATTTATATATGTATATTTTAGCCGCATGAACGTCAAGTTTTTTGTATTAATATTTTTTTCCTACCATCCAGTTCAGCATACAGTTTCAATTGGGAAGACCTGGCAAGGAAACTCAACAGAGTTTCTTCTTTTTTCAAAAGCCAGTTTTTACATTGTATACTTATTTAGGAATCTAGTCTAACAGTAAATGAAAATCTCGTGCCTGAACAGAGATTGAATTGAGAAAAACTGGCAAGGAAACTCGACTTAGTTTCTGTTTTTTTTTCCAAAGCCTGTTTATAACTATTAACTACTTTTCTCAACTTTCTTTTGCCTATATGTTGATCCATATTTAATAACATAATTTTTGGAAATGTCAACGTAGTTTTGATATTAAATTTGAAGTAAAAAAATAACACGCAAACAGCTATGCAGATAGTTTTGCGAAACGTCACGATTTTAGGTTTTTATTATATGTCAAAACCGAGAACTCAGTACTACTTTGTGTCTTACAATATTTCATTATTATTAATTCCAATGCAATTATGTCGTTATAGGTAACATGTGGGCGCAGACATGGAACAATATAGAATCATTCACACGTCCATACCCAGATAAAAAGGAAAGTGATATCACTCAAGCGATGAGAGATCAGAATTACACACCATTAAAAATGTTCCAAATGTCCGATGAATTCTTCAAGTCGTTGAATTTGACGGCGATGCCACCGAAATTTTGGGAGAACTCCATCATTGAGAAGCCGACGGATAGAGAGATAGTTTGTCACGCGTCGGCTTGGGACTTCTATGATGGACAAGATTTTAGGTAACAAGTCTGAGGCTCATATTTTGCATGCGACAATATTTCTTAAATTCAATAATGCGTAGTTAGGATTCAGGGATGCCAATTGCACTAATATCGTCGAAAAAAATATCGTAGAATGAGATTTTTGGCTTTCGGTACGAGTTCCTTTTTATCCTAGTAAGTTTGTATGAGATTTTAACAACAAAACTTGGAGAATATGAGTTTTATATTTTTTCGTGCAATACTTCGATATTTTAAGCTTAACAAACCTGTTAGGATTTGTATATTTTTAAAGACTGTTATTTTAAACTTGTTAAAATATTATTCAGATGTAAACACAACTAAATCTATTCTGCTATTCAAAGGAAAACCTTTGAAATAGGCAAAGTCACTTGAATCTGAGTGAAGAATTAATATGTTTTAACATGTACGACAAATGAAATATTTTATCTGGCATGAGTTTTGAATATATAAGGAATGTGTATATATGTGGATATTTGAAAGTTGCGACAGTTGTAGACAAGCTGCGAGGTAACAGATTAATCTGGTATTGTTATGCGGAGGAGCGAAGACCATGTCTAAAGAAAATATATAACGTCCATGGATGGAAAGGAAGAGGAAGACCGATAAAATGATAGATGAATTGTGTGAAAGATGATATGTATAAAAGGAGAGTATGCTCAAATATAACAGCTGATAGGGATCAATAGAAGAGGATGACAAACTGCGCCGACCCCAAATAATGGGATAAAGGAAGGATAAAACATTGCTAAATGATAAGAACGCTTTTTATGCTAGTTAATGAATATTTACTATTTTAATTATTTTCTATATTTGGCGCAATAAATAGTATAAATAAATAAAGACAAGGTGCCGATGATGTGTTTTGATGATTCTATTCCAAATTGTATGTTAATATCTTTGGCTTTAATTTTGAAGGATCAAACAATGTACAACAGTAGATTACGAATATTTCCAAACAACACATCACGAAATGGGGCACATACAGTACTTCCTCCAGTACAAAGATCAACCGGTCGTGTTTCGTGATGGAGCAAATCCAGGTAATTGACAATAATTTCCTTAAACGCAGGATCAAAATGTGTACAGTGGTGAACAGAGAGCATTTAAGAATAGTACATCATGAAATGGGACATGTGCAGTATTACTTGCAATATAAAGATTTGCCGTCCGTATTTCGAGGGGGCGCGAATCCAGGTGAAGTCCGGGTTTAGATTTTATATGGGATATATTATCTTATGCAAAAATGTAATGCTCCTGGAAACCCATTTTAGCTATTACAGCAATTTGTCAATTGTCACTTTATGTAAAGTTAGGGAAATAAATTATAAGATAAAGACAAAAGTTTGAATAGCTAAAATAGGTTTTTTGGATGATTTGTGTCTTAACAAATAAAAGTCATGTTTCTGGAGTTCTTGCATATGTATTGTATGAATTTTACGTTTAAAGTCATTTTACATCTTTTATGCTGCTGTGTATTTCTGAATTTTCTGTGAATTAACCTATGCGATATAATGAACTACTAATAATAACATGTTTCTAATTATCATCATGATTTTCAATTAGTTGTCTTATAGATCATAGACAAATCACTATAGAGTTTTGTTAGTGTTATCAGATTTTAAATTTGATAGTTTCTTCGAAAAAAAACTCACTTTCTTCTGACTTTGACTTAACATCCTGATTTTCGTTACCATAGTATTTTAACTTTCACTAACTACAGTTTTATTTATGATTCTGTTTACGTTATATTTGTGATATTAATATGTTATACTAATGGTGACAACGGTCTCTGTAGTTAAACATACCGGTTTACTTCCGATGGTCACGGGTTCGATTCCTACATATACGGTAAAACATTTGTATTAATGAGTTTAATTGTTTGTATTACTCTGGGTGATTTTTATGACTATTATATTTAGGTATTCTATCAGTTATCTAGTACCCATTACAATATCTCCCGTTAGCTTGGGATTAGATAACATTGTTATTTAGGGTTGTTATAAAGGGTTGTATAAAGGTTGTATAAAGGTTGGTATAAAGGGTTAGGGTTGGAAAAAAGATTATATTGTGTTTCATTCTAACTTGTTCAACATAAAGGCTAGTTTTATTATACCTTTCATCATACCTTTCATCATTATTTGTGGTGTTAACAATACATTTTGTTGCATTATAATTGTTTTCATCAAATGTTACTAATTGCATTTTATTAAATAAATTACTACTATATTAAAGTTTGTGATTTTATGTTTTACAGGTTTCCATGAAGCAGTCGGTGATACAATCGCGCTATCAGTGTCATCACCGAAGCACTTGCGCCGAGTGGGCCTTATAAATGGAGACGCTGAAGATGAGCAGACTGAAATAAATCAGCTTTATAAAATGGCAAGTATAGTACCTTTAAACTTTTATATTTAGTACATCGATAGGGAATTCATCCCCATATGTTAGAACCTAAGTGGTCGCCAACAGTGCGGTTATAAAGGAGTTTCCTCCAGCGTTCACTTAACATTGTGGAATGCACTATCTGCCGACGTTTTCTCAGGTTGGCGCAGTGAGTTGTCCAGCGTTATTATTATTTACAATATAAAAAACATCATTACCATAATAGCGGTCTTTGCTCTTAGTGGAGGTCTGCAGTCACACGAAAACTTGCTACCATCTGCCATTTTCAGTTGCAATGCAAGAAATCATGATATTTCTTCTTCTTAGCACTCTCCTACTTTATGGGGGGTTGTTGGATTGGGTAATTTTTCCATCGCGATAAGATTACCTGCTCATGCTGGTCCACTAGGTAGCTGGAGGACGTTTTCTACCTCTTTTGCGATGGGCAGTCATAAGGCTTTTTTGGCCTTACATTCTTCTCCTCGTCACTTCACATTACATGGCCGTACCATCTGAGTAATCATGACATTTAAAGACAGCCTTGTTCAATTTCAGGGTATGGACAAGATCGTGTTCCTACCGTTCGCCTATACATTGGACCTGTTCAGATACGGTGTCTTCCGAGGTACCACTCAGCCAGAAGATTACAACTGCCACTACTGGCGGCTGAGAGAAACGCTACAAGGAGTTGAACCTCCTGTAAATAGGACTGAGGAAGACTTTGATGCCGCTGCAAAATACCACGTATCTGCTAATGTGGAGTATGCTAGGTAAATAAAATAAGATAAAATAACTAAATTTTACTACTTAATTTAGAGAGAACCGGTACACAGTAGTCTGCGACGGTGATGTCCCATTCCCCATCCAATTGAAACTTAAATTGAAAGTTGAACCTTTCTAATTAGATAAGCCTATTACACACTAAACGATTGCTTAAATGTTAAGCGAGCATGGCAATAGTTGTTCATGTACGGAATTTTAATTTAATGTTAGACATAAACACCATACGTACCAACATAAGTATACATTGTAAATAAACTGTTTTTTTTTTAAACAGAAACTAAGTAAAAAAATAGTTAAGTCTCTCTTGCCATGTCTTTTCAAATTGAATCTGTATTATGAATGGGATAGTAGGGAAAAATATGAAGACATAAACTTTAACATTCATAAACGGCATTTGATTTTTTATATACTACGATGGTGGCAAACAAGTATACGATTCATCTAATTGTAAACGGTTACCGTAGCCTATGTACGCCTGAAACACCAGGGGTGTCAATGATTTGATTTAATTTGCTGAAAATGCATATAAACCATTATAGATATAAATTTATCAACTTCACAGGTATTACGTCTCCTTCATTATCCAGTTCCAATTCCACCGCGCCCTCTGCAGTCTGGCCGGGGAGTACGCTCCAGCGGACGTGAACAAGAAATTGGTTGACTGTGATATTTATCAGAGTGTAACTGCGGGCAATGCATTAGCGTAAGTATGAAATATTAGCTCATTACTTATTTAAACGACTATTCACCGAGAAGACATATATTTACGCGACAACGCCGACCGAGGCCCGTTCTTATTCATCCCGACGAGCCCATAACGGCAGCAAAACTCCCTACGAGTTCACCCGTTTCATCTCTACCACGCTATCACATACACACGACACCGTCCTCGCCGGCGAAGACGACGACCTCAACCACACCATATCGCACATTCAAAGAGCGCCCACATCGGTGTCCCTGTTCGATCCCCTGTCCAATTTAAACGGGGAACGAAATTACGCGGCCTGAGCCAAGGTATGAATCTCTAGCAGTGCACTAATACTAAAGTCGTACTCTCATGGTACAAGTATTTGAATACATGAGTATGATTGTTTGTATTGGTCTTGCAAAAAAATATTTATATCAGTTGTCTAGTAGTAATGGTATCAATCCATAACACAAGCTCTGCTTACCTTGGGACTAGATGATGTTGTATGAATTGTCCAGAGGTTATTATTATTATTTGCCTCATTTTCCCAGCTTTTGCTGGTTTTTTTACGCTTTGTGGCGTACTATTTTATCTTATCTACTATATTATTATTTCTTTTTTATTTTTTTTCTCCTCGGCTTTCACCGGTATTTTTGCTAGTTACGGTCCTAAGCCAAGTTTTCATTATTATTACTGTTATTACTATACAATTTATTTTTATTAATTACAGTAATATGCTCAAAATGGGTTCCTCGAAGCCGTGGCCCGAGGCGATGGAGGCGCTCACCGGCCAGCGGTCCATGAAGGCTGATGGCCTCTTAGAATACTTTAAACCACTGTATGAATGGTTGGAGGTAGAAAATCAACGAACTGGAGAATATATCGGATGGGAAACTAGTAAAATACGTATGTATTTACTTATATATACGATATTAAAATCATAAATCATTTATTCATATAGGACATTTTAGCCAGTTAGAAACGTCAAGTTTCTGTATTAATATTTTTTTTCCTATCGTCCAATTCAGTATACAGATTCAATTGAGAAGAACTGGCAAGAAACACAACTGATTTATTTTTAATTTTTAAAGGCAGTTTATTTACAGACACCTATACATCATGATGATGATGTATAGGTTTCTATATCTAACATAAAAAACTAACATAAACGAAAATTCCGTGCATAAATAACTATTGACTTTTACCTGAGACTGAGTTATTTTGTTTTTTTTATACTACAATGGTGGCAATCAAGCATACGGCCCATCTGATAGTAAATGGTTAGCGTAGCCTATGGACGCCTGAAACATCAGGGGAGTCACGTGCACGTTGCTGACCTTCAAGAAACCTTAATATACCCTGCTTGAAAACCCTATACTGTAGTCTCTAGATAAAACCTCTGCAGGTAGTTCATTCCATAATCTAAGTGTACTTGTAAGATAGCTTATTCTTCATAATAAGCCGGCAAAGCACTTGCAATACCCCTAGTGTTGCGGCTGCATGTGCAGCGGTAATTACTTGCAATTAGGTGAGCTGCCAGCTCCTTTGTTGTCAGCTTCTATGCTATAAAAACCTTATTTTAGCACTATTAGCGCCCCCGGTTTTACTCACGTGAAATTTATAGCCTATTATCTGATATATAATCTATATTACTGTAAAGTTTCAACAAAATCCATTCGCTAGTTTTTGTGTGAAAGTGTAACAAACGTCCATTTATCCATATATTATTTATATCTATACTTCATAATTTCGCGTGTATAATATTATTAAGATTAAAATGTCGCCATTTCCATTTCAGAATATTGTACAGTGGAGCAGTTAGCAGCCCTTAATGCCAAACTAGTGAGCTCCGAGCCCCAAAAGGCGGACACGTGACGAGCAAGCGTACTTACAACCTTCACTTAGTCTAATTTATAGTATGCAAGCGTCAGTATTCGGAATAAATGTTTTTAAGATAATTTAATATATGTCAATTTTATTTCACCTACTATTGTAGACATATCGTCGATTAAATAGAAAAATTACATTTTTCAAAATTAGAAGCTAGAATTGCCTCCTTTTATATAAGTCAATTAAATTAACCACGCCGTCTTAATCATTATCTAAATACTTTTAAAATAATATATAATACTTCTGTGTAAATTTAAAACTTTAAAGAAAAAAATAATTTAAAAACTTTAAATGCAAGACAAGACATAAATGTAAATTTGGATACTGCCATTTTTCTATTTACCGACGATATGCACTAGGGGCAGGTATTCCCGGGGACTTCGGCAGCGTGGAATATCGTTAGCGCAGGCGGGTGCTGCATTGCAATATCATCGAAAATATGTTATTGTACACTTGGTAATGTTTTTATTTTTGGACTACTTTAATGCTGTTGGCCGCAACTGGCCTCTACAGCTTCACCCGACATTAGGGGGCGAGTGCAGATGGCACTCCAAACCCGCGGATGGACTTATGGAGCGGCTGAAGGCCAGCTCCTGCCTGACGGATACGACTTTAGTCTAAGGGTACCAGTAGGCTCGAGCCTCGGCTCAGGCCGTCGTAATTTCGATCCCCGTTTGAATTGGACGGGGGATCGAACTTGGTAAACGCATTCTGTAATTATCTTGTCACTATTATTAAAACTGCAACATAGGTAAGGGACGACTTACGGTTAACCTTTTTTTTATATAATTGGAATGGCAAGCCCGCCTGATGGTAAGTGGGAATCATCGTCCTTATACATGAACAGCACCACAGATAATACGTTATGATGTGAGAACCGTGATACCAAGTGTTGCCAGTCCAAAAGAGTGAGATGCCATTCCTCCGTAAAAATTTCAATTCTGTGTAATTTCACCTGAATAGTTACTGAGAAAAAGAAATTTTCCGTCAAGGGGTGTTACCCCCATTATTCTCTCACTATGAGGGTTAGGGGTGTGAGATTATGTGTATGGCTATTATCGAAATACAATAAAAACAAGGCATTTTTATCCCGCTAGATCCTTCATATTATTGTTTTTTGTTTATTTTAATAAATTCTATCAATTTATTCTGTCTTATCTTAACTTAATGTGTACTATGTGAATTGTCCTGGGTTATTATTATTATTATTATAAATATCAATATTATTATCAGTTTCAGATAGCTACACTGTCGATTTGAGATGATTCTGACGTTATTTTATCAATTATCTGTATCAGATCAGCATTTATTTACATGTAATATGAATCTACTCACATGAATGAAGTTATTGTTTATCTTATTTGATAAATTACACTTGAATTTGTCAATCACATGTTATACATATTATATTTTATTGTAAAATATATCCACTTCATAATATTAAAGAAATGTTTATTGCACACAGCTCCATGTAAACCGAAGTTAAGTTAGCTAAAACTTGTGTCATGGGTCTCAGATAGCCAATACAAATACATCGATATATACATTTTTTTTCGTAAATACATACATAGAAACCACTCGGACCGATACAAACAATCATATTCATGAATATAAATGTTTATGCCATGCGAGCAATCGAACCAGCGACCATCGGAAGTAAGGCGGTGCTAAGTTAAGATTATTTGAATGTTTGTTTGTTACTAAGAACTAAATTCTTCTTTAGAAGGAAAGATTATCACTATGTAATATAGTCTGTAATTCACACGAATAGTATTACAGGAAAGCGCAATCTATCTACACGTTTAGAAACTATGATTCCACAAATTCTATAGACACTAAGTTATATAATATTAACTTTTCTGTGGTATTTAGATAAATAAACAAACATAAATTTAGAACACCCCTCTTTGCGCCCGGGGTTAAAAATAACTCTTTTCTTCATTTTATATAGATATTTTCTTCCATTATAAATCCTCAGATATCACCAATGTTACTACATAACTTTTGTAAATATTTTCTTTTAAAATCCCTCTCCTAAACCTTTTCTCTGCCCATCCTTGGCCTAATTTACGCCAATAATAATATAATTTGTGTCGTATAACCCGGCGAGTTTAAAACACCTCTCGTCGCGTTAGAGCACAATTACAATGGCGATTACATTTACATTGGCAGGGTTTTAAAAATCCTTGTCCATCTCAACATTTGCATCTCGGCTATCTGTGTCCAATAAATTAATTCAACATAGACAGTCTAAAGAGTGTCGTGTATAGTCTTAAACATATTCTTGTCATGAAATGTTGCATAAACAACCAAATATCTACTTATAAGTGCGTTTGTTGTTATCATTAGATGTCGTGATAAAATATATATGTGCCATTCGTCTCAAGTGGTCGCGTCTTTAACAGTTCGGTTGAATAATCGTGGTGAGTAGTTTTGTAACTTATTATTGACTATACGACTATTTCTTTATTAACCTGCTATTAAAAGGATGAAAATTTTTCATCGATTTTTCATTTGGTGACAATGAATTTTATTTATTTCAATCAAAAAAATTCATTGTCATGTAATGAAAAATCATAAAAATCAAAAGAAAAAGCATAAACATGAATAAAAAATATACATTTTTTGTGGGTGAGTTTCGTGGGTGAGTGATTGTTTTTGGATATCTCTTTTATTAACCTGCTACAAAAAGGATGAAGTCTTCATCCTGTTTCGTCGATTTTTCATTGGAATTTTATTTATTTTAATCAAAAAGCATAAATATGTACAAAAAATATTTTTTTAACATATTTATGCAATATCTTTAAGAAAAAATCGATGAAATTTGGTGACAATAATTTTTTTTTCATCGATGAGTCATTGCTGCCGGGTCACTAGTAGGGGATGTGGATGAAGTCAGGTCTGTCCATACTATTGAAATTTGGAATCATTATACTGAAACAAAAACTTTGTACACCTTTTTACGAAAATTTGGCGGACTGATTTCATATAGAAGGCGTACAGAGTATAATTGTTTTTTAATACATTAAATTAATAAAAAAGCATTACATACACCACCAAATATTTGTGGTCCTTTCCTTCTCCAAAGCAGACTAGGTTAATTGTACAATAGATTTATGCACGTCCGCAGTCCTTCAGATCTAAGCACCTGACAACAGCCCAAATCCTTCAATAAAAAACACCATATATGTATTTGACACACGCATATATAGTCTTTTGTTTATTTTTAAAGTCTGTAATCTAATTGAGAATAGATTAATATTGTTTGTTTTTAATATTATTTGTCTATAGTCTTACTGAAATGGTCGATATCGACCACTGGGTAACCACTAGTTATAGAAATAAATTACTCCAGTTCTGGCAAAAGTATTTGCGTCATTTTGATATAATAGTGAATTTGGATTTTTTTTATAAAATATATAAAATTTTACTTTTTTATAACACTTAAGTCTTCGATAGTATTAGAGTATTAAGGTTTTCTAGAAGAGAATCTTATTTAATCCATTATTGTAATATGATCTATTTATTATTTTGATCATTAATAGAAATTTGACCGTCGTACATATTTATTATTTGTCTTGAAAAGACAACAATATAAATACATTATTTGTCATTTCTAGAAATGTTAGTATGAAGCATGGGATTGTATTCAGTTACGGATATAAAAATCTCATTACGTATGAATACATTAGTACACAGTACACTCGCATACAATATTTTGTATTTATGAGAATTTTTACTCATTGAAATAGAAAATAAAGACAGATAAAAACTAACTTTATTAATTTGAGATACGGTACGTTAGAAAGTAGGTTTGGATCGCTTATTTCATAAATTTCATTATTTACAAGAATGGGTCTATTTAATTCCAATGATTTCATTAAGCTGCACATTTCAAAAACATTAAACATCATAATATGAAATTAAATTAAATAATGTCATAATTCAATTAAATAAATTATTTATTTTATTTATTAACTGTTTATTGCTCTGAAAGTAAATTACAACGATGTGTTCTTTGTAATTTACTAATTATATTTACTAATTTATTAATTTATAATAAGATATGAAAAGAGGCAATCTCTTCCAGACAACTTTTGGGTAGAGAAGAGAAGATAGAAATTGGTAGATGGGCTATGAATGTAAACGTAGTAACTAACACATACTAACGACATATATATTTGGTACAGATTATATTAGTTAATAAATTTGAATGACTTTACTCGTATACAGTACAACAGAAAGACCTATATAATAATAATAATTATAATATTTATCCGGCTTCATCCATTACTCTTTCGCCGTTCAGGCTATCAAACTGGAATGACTTACCTCTTGATATCAAGACCGCCACGAGTAAAATTTCCTTTAAACAGAAATTTTTTACTGTCTTTCTACCTTTTTCACATCTTTCTGTTATTTCCCTATTGCTCTCTCTATATTTATATATATATATTTTCTTACTTTCAACTTGAGGCTCTACTTATAATTTGATTATCAGATAATTATGTATTTATTTATATATAATATTTATATATTTATGTTTATATTTATACATTTATTTATGTATGTTTATTATTATTATTAATTTTTATTGAAATTTACATTTAAAATATTTTGCTTTATATTTATACATATATTTTTTTTTTTTTTTTTAACATACATATATATTAGTGCACCGCCAACAATTATCATGGTTGACTGGTAGATAACGCCGCATGGTGTTAAGTCCGCCATATGTACACATTGTTTTTGTGCATTAAAGTTAAATAAATAAATAAATAAAATAAATATCAGGACAATTCGCACAGCGCCACTCAGACTCAAGTTAAGCTAGCTAAAACTTGTGTTATGGGTTCTAGATAACTGATACTGAATCAATCAAAGTCTGTAAATCCATACATATTATACATAGAAATCACACAGACCAGTACACACAATCATAATCATGAATACAAATATTGGTACCGTGCGAGGAATCGAACCCGCGACCATCAGAAGTAAGGCAGTGTGCTAAACCGCTAGACCACCGAGGTCGTATATATAATACATACATAATTTAATTTTTCAGTTTTACTTGTAAAGACGTTGACTTTGAATATATTCGCTATACAATGTAGCTGTACAGTATTTGTTTCGGCTGAAAGCTACAAAAGATCTCAAATCTGGAGGCATGACAGACAGAATGAATGACTTGTAATTCATTTGCATAATAATTAAACGTGTACGAGTTACAATATTTTGTTCAGTTTATTACCAACAACCATTAGGATCGCATTTGATTTTTTTTAAGTATAACTTAATAGTCTAATGAAATGCCGTGCGGATACTGCAGTAAATCTGCCAAGAAAGTGTTATTTGTGAGTTCAATTTGTAGAATTACTGCCACGCGGATAATTTAGATAGTTTTAAAGTAGGTATATGTTGTTCTAAGGATACGGTACGTGTCATCCTCCATTGGGACCGAGATGCTTGCCTTGAGGAAGGTAGCGCCCTTATCTGGAGACCTGCCCCTATACTGCTATCGTAATTAAATAGGGAGAAATAGGTGGCCCTAATAACAAGATAGGGTATGTCCTACACTATCAATAGGTTGAGTTAACGCTGGCGGAATGCGGTAGTTATGCTAATCTGGTGACACCAGCAATGGCACTCGTAGGTACACCATGTAGTTTTTAGTGGGTAGGAATCTCATCACAACTCTAACAGTCACGAATACGAACAAAATAGGATACGGCTAGTCTGTCTATCGAATATTCAAATCACGACGTTCTCGGAGATACAACCATCCTTACATGATACAGCTTGGAAGCCTAGCATAATCTGGTCGCCGAACACTCAACGCCAGGCTTCCAAGCTATATTCAAACTCCATTAATTGCTAGATAATACCTCGTTTAAAAGCAAAATACGTGTCGCAATATGGTTGTAGATTTAATAACATTTGGAATTTGATTACTAATATGGAAGGTCATAATGGTTTTAATAGCAATGGTAGGGTTTCAACACGGAATATTTGTGATCTTACACATATTAATGATAATGGAATTAAACAAATTACAACAAATCTATTAAGGAATAAATTATATTTACTATAAGGTTCTCGACTCGACGGGCTGGTCATGGTATTCGTAGCAGTCATCTTCAACAGAGTCTAGATCTATAAGCTAGCCTATTTTTGCAGAGGGCTCTAAATTTCTTTTACTATTTTAAGAATTGGACGGAATGATACAAAGACTTGAAATCGTATAAACTGCAGACTTATACCTGTTATTATACTGTTCGTACTTCATTTGGATGCAACTAGTTTTTCTGACTGTCCTTATAGCATCAATACAGTAAAGAGACCGTTACAATATGATTATAGATCGTTTTTTAGTCTTCAAACTGCCTTGACATCTTGATTTGTTTTTGTTTCTTTACAAGTTTATATATTCTGTAATATTCAATGCATTGTGTTATTATTGAATGTGTCTTTGTGGAGTTGAGTATTTTATTATATCGTATGCAGTGTAAATGACTGATCCATTACGTTAACGCGGTTGAGGTTTTATTTTTCAATATTTCATTTCTGACTAGATAACTAGTGTCATAGTACTAAGATATATTAATTTAAATGTTGCACTATTTCATGCTTGTTACAAATTTAAATTACCGTTTTATTTTAATATAGTTATATTTGCTATTTCAAATTTTATTTTAGTATGTTCATTCAAACCGGACACTCATGAAGTGTCCTGTTTGTTATATTACTTACTATTAAATTTTTTCGTTACCTTTTCATACCTTTTAAATCTTTCATTAATTCTAGCTGATAATGAAGATCGTCATCGAACTTGCCCTAGTGGGGGCTATAGCATCAGTTTTTATAGTGGCTGCTCAGGGAAGAGCAGCCGAGAGAGCCGCGGAAGAAGCAGCAGGCCGAGAGTACATGAGGAAACTTGATGAAGAAATGTCCATTGCGCGGAACAAGAAGGCATTAGCGTCTTGGAATTATGAGAGCAATATTACAGATCACAATGAGGAGCTGATGGTGAGTAATATTATGATGAAAGACACAAAAAAATCCAATAACTTTATGCAGAGCAAAAATATTATAACATCAACAGACGTAAAGAACTGCATATAGAATATATTTTGTTTGCATTATACAATAAAGAAATTACACAATATATTAATTTATACATATAGAATTGAAATCAGGGAGTAATGGTAATAACTCCAAACCCTATCGAGAAAATATCTATTTGCTATTTGTGGTATCACTTAGTATATTTTATTGATATTTTCTTCAGAATTTAGGTATTTTATTCGTTAAAATGCCAACGCAAACTTGTGATTCAGATAATGGCGGCTCGTATGAATACCATGTTGTCTTTTAGCTAATTTGAATTTAATAAACTCTCTCACTATCCCTCCATCGAGAGGGTCAGTGTGAAGACTTTTTCACAAATTTAAAAAAATATTCGTTACACTTACAAGTAGAACAAATAAAATGTCTAAGTTACAATGATTGATAACATTAGTTTCAAATGCTTGTTTGCAGCTACAAGTCTCATTAGAAATAGCAGAAGAAGAAAAAGAATACTGGAAGGAGACAATGAGTTACCTCTGGCATGAATATGAAGATCCAGACCTTAAAAGAATGTTCAAGAAATATTCAGAGCTTGGGACATCGGCATTGCCAGAAGATTTAAACCAGAGATTGTTAACAGCAATAAGTAATATGCAAAGTATATATGCAAAAGCAACCATATGTGATTATAAAGATAGAAACAAATGTGATTTGCACGTAGAACCAGGTAAATGACATGATATGTCGCTAACTACATTAACTTCTACTCTAGATTCATTTGTGTAACTAACATTTCATAACATGTTACAAATAAATAAACATGACCCAAATAATGCGATTAAGGTGCAACCATAAATGATATATTCATGGATACAATAATAGTAACAAGCATACATAGATTAACACAGAGCATAGCAATAAATTGATCGAACTGTCATAAGAAAGTTTTAAAGTTAATGGAATATTTTCTAGAAAATAAATGTATTTAGAAAGTCTGAAGTAGTTACTAGTTTGTTTTAATTAATTGTTGCGTCTATTTCAGATGTGACAGATATTTTCGCTAATAGTGAAGATCCAGAAGAGTTAAAATATACATGGCTGGAGTGGCACAAAGCGGCAGGTGCACCATCTAGAGGCAATTTCACTGAATACATACAAATGGATAATGAGGCTGCTAAACTGAATGGTATTTATTTATAAAATGACATAGGTCTTAATTTAAATAATCAACCTACCTAAAAAGACAACATATATTTATTCGTCACTATAGCAGTGACAACTGTAGATGTTATGGAAAACGCAATGCTTGACATGTCGACATTTCGCAAATTAGATTTATTTAAATCTAACATCTACAAATAGTAGATGTCAGATTTAACCTCTAAGATTATCGTACTACAGTTCATAATGAGATACATACCATAATAAATTACAGTACTGGTCTTTATTCAGGCACTTTTGCGTTTTTGACCAAACTAATTGTAGTTTGTCAAAAAAGTAATTTAGCATTTAAGTATTTTATTATATGATGGTTACAATAGTGTAATATCTATGTTATAATCATCTTCTCAGATAGACTCACATTTGACAGTTCTTTGGATAGATAATAAACTGAAAACAAATTATTTAACGCAATATAATTTATATTCTGTAAAGCTTGACACTAAAACCAACTTACATTTAACTTACCCAACTTACCCAGTTTTGTTTAATATGTTTAAGGTTACGACAGCGTAGCGGAGTGGTGGTTGAGTGAATACGAATCCGATGATAGTGAGGACCAGTTCGCCTCACTCTGGAGTCAGATCAAACCATTGTATCAGCAAATACATGCATACGTGAGGAGACAGCTTAGGTTAAAGTACGGAGAAGATGTAGTACCTACCAAGGGGCCTATTCCAGCTCACCTTTTAGGTATGTTTTGAAAAGCAATGTTTTTTTATTTATCTATTCAACTGGCGATTACTCACAGCTTTTTAGATAAACTAAGAAAATGGACCATTATCTACTTCTAAGCTAAATATCATTGAAGTCTGTTGTATTGTTTATGAGTGATTAAGTACCTAATCTTCCAACATATTTATATAACATTGATACCGACGATGCTGGGAGAAAACATCAATAAAGAAATAAACATGACTTACAATATTTTCATATTTTATGATTCGTTTTAGTATAAGTATACTACGCATTATAACACAAAACGAACTTTTTTATAGCAGCATTGTGTACATCAGATACAAATAAGTGGAGCTAATCATTAGGCGTTCCATATAATAATAATAATTAACATTGAGGTACCAATATTCAAGGTTTAATTTCGGTTACAGGTAACATCTGGGCACAAACATGGGGAAACATTGAAAAATTTACTAGACCTTACCCTAACAAAGCAGATGTTGATGTAACCTCAGCTTTGATTGCTCAGGTAAGAACATTTTATAATAAAATGCAAGAATAATCCTAGGAATGGTAAACAGTCTGGCATTCTACTGTGATATGTCTTCGTATATAATAATTTCAACACCATCTTTACGTTTTCTTTTAAGTTGCTTTGTAATAAATTATTTGTATTATTAAACGGGTATTAACACGAATAATTTTATGTAAAGACCCGGTTAATAATATAAATAAAATATATTAAAAACAAAAGTTTAGAAATAGCTTTTCTAATTGTTTTAATTTTGAAGACGTCATATCTCCCTTCAGTTTCGAAATATAGTTGAGCTTCTTGCCAGTTTTTCTCAACTGAATTAGTTTACTGACCTGAACGATAGGGAAAAATATTATTACAAAAACTTGACGTTTATAAGCGGCTAAAATGTCCAACACGAAAAAATGATTTTAGATTTGATTTTATATATTTAAGAATGGAAGCAGTGCTGTTATAGTGTAAGTTATTAATTTCAAAAACCTAAATGATGGTCATATAGAGAGAGGTACGTCGTCATACAAAGTTCTATGTGCCATGTCGGTGTTCTGCCCATTCTGGTCTTTGAGCTGGAGAAGAATATATTGCCATGCACTTAAAATTAAAATCAGAAGAGATATTAGATATTACTATTTAATGAAAGTTGTTTTTTACATCGCATATTATGCTCTGATTATTTAAATTTTAATACCTAGTCTAGGTATACAGTGGAGTATTACAAGAAATCGTATTACCTTTTCTAATTGTTTTAGAATTATACGGTCCTAAAAATGTTCGAAACTGCCGAAGAATTCTTTAAATCATTGAACCTCAGTGCGATGCCAGACCTGTTCTGGGAGAAGTCAATCATAGAAAAACCTAATGATGGTCGAGAATTGGTGTGCCATGCTTCAGCTTGGGATTTCTACGATGGAGAAGATTTTAGGTAAGTTAAAATTAAAAAAGAAAGATGTTGATATAAACTTAATTTAATTAAATTGTTTTGAGATTGTTTAATTTTTAATGTATAGCTTAATATTATGTATGTCGTCATACTCGTGAACGAGTGCTGCGTGTAGGAATTGCTCTGATTTAACCACTACGAGTGATTTACTCTTATTGAGTTAATTAACCAGTGGGTTGCGTATATGATTATACTCACTCATTTCAACTTAAAAATCTAAAGTAACAATTAAATTATTTCAAAAAGCAACACGCAAGTGTTCATCTTTTTCTTCTTGGCATAAAACAGCTTTTCGAATGCGCGGTAGATTAAATAATAAGTAATCACTATTAAAAAGTGCTTAAATGTATGTTAATTTGAATAAAGAATATTCTATTCTATTAGTCTTATAGAGGACAATTGCATTTTTGAAAGCGTTAAAATATACTAAAATTATTTCTAGGATTAAACAATGTACTACTATAACAAGCGATTATTTTTCAACAACTCATCATGAAATGGGTCATATACAATACTATCTACAGTATAAAGATCAGCCAATTGTATATAGAGAAGGCGCGAATCCTGGTAATATTTTCATATATTTTTAGGATCAAGCAATGTTCCACGTTAACATCAGCTTTCTTCAAAACAACGCATCACGAAATGGGTCACATTCAGTATTATTTGCAATACAAAGACCAACCAGTCATTTATAGGGGCGGAGCAAATCCTGGTAATATATCGGACTGTACAGAGGATTTTGTACAAAGTATCTTTATTGTTTAAAGTAATTTTTTAATGGACAATTCATCCAGCCTCAAGTTAAGCAGAGTTTCTAGACAACTGATAGAAATACTTACTTTTTTATCTGAAAAATAAAATTATACATTTGAGTTGCCTACTATATGTACACTCAGATTTAATTCAGAAACATCCAGACCAATATAAACAATTATACTCATCAATACAAATGTTTGCACCGTGCGCGAAATTAATCCCGCAATCAACGGAAATAAATTGTTGTGCTAAACCGTTATATTACCAAGGCCGACATTCGGTGATATCTCTGATATGTATTGATGGGCCATCACCTGATGGTAAATGGTAACCGTAGCCTATATACATGAAGAGCGCTATGGACATCACGTTATCGTGTGACCACTTATGCATTGCCATTTCGCAAAACCATGATTTTTCACTGCTTACAGTCCCTTCAACCGAAATACATCTTACAAAGCAAGCTATTTGACGGCACTAATAGCTGCTACTGAGGTACCAACGCAGACGAATAAATAGAATCTACAATTATTTCTTTAGTCACTCTATTACAATTTTCGTTTTGGCTAATGGGACCAAAATATTTAAGAATTTATTATTTACTTGTAATAATTGGCTTGACATTTGTAAATATTATTTCTATTATTTCTATAGGTTTCCATGAAGCAGTTGGTGATGTAATAGCTCTATCAGTTTCAACTCCTAAACATTTGAAAGTAATTGGCTTATTAGAAGATGGACCGGAGGATACTGAATCTAATATCAATCAGTTGTATAAAATGGTAGGTTATGGATAATTTCGTAATATATTGTATGATTCTTATGTCACCTTACCTGTATTGGTTACGGGATAAAGTTTGATAGACTTCAATATTTCTGAAACTACTAGTCATAAATCTTTATTCCTTGCTATTTCTTGATTGATATTACCTGAATTTACTGCCATATCTTGTAATTTAAGAATAGAATAGAAAAATATTTCATTTCTTTCTAAAATAGAATAGTAAGCTCTTTTGAATAGTCATACTTATTTTTTAATCTACCTAGCTAGCTATCTTATCATAAGAGGAATAAGAAAGAAATTTTCTTGTTGCTCTTTTAAATAATTTAGTTGTAACTTCACATTTTTAAGTTGAAATGTGTAAATACAAACTAGAAACTAGTATTAACTATTAATTCATTACAGTAAAAATATTAAATACACAATCAATTGGTTAAGAAATTAAATAAGATTAAATCAGTCGCTAGTGATTAGATTAGACCAGTCCCTACAAGCAGTACTCGTTCACGAGTGAACAACAGATAGTGTTGATAAGCTAGGCCATATCAAACTTTCTATACAAAGGTAAGTGTTACAGATTCCGATAATCAGTATTTATGAATTTTTATTCCAGGGCTTAGATAAAATCGTCTTTCTTCCATTTGCCTATCTTCTCGATCTCTTCCGCTACGGAGTATTCCGCGGGACCACTACAACCAGGGACTACAACTGCCATTACTGGCGATTGAGGGAAACACTACAGGGAGTAGAACCTCCAGCTCCCAGAAGTGAGGACGACTTTGATCCAGCAGCTAAATATCACGTTGCTGCAGATGTTGAATACATGAGGTAAATAAAACTATTTTCTCCATTAAATATCTCATTACAATGTTAAATATTCATTATTCAAAATCATGTAGTTACAGAAATCAATTCAATTAATTATATGTTAATTGAATTGAATTAAGTATTAATTTCAATTACTAATTATCAAATGAAATAAGAACTTTTATTTCATTGTTATAAAGTTATAAAAAGTTAGTTATAAAAAGGCATAATCGTAAAAATTATAAGAAATGAAAAAGAAAAAAAAACTCTTCATACAACACATTACACAGTACATATGGACAGAGCATCTAAATAAAATATTCGTTCTAAATGTTTGTACGTTTAAAATACAATATGCAATAGCGAGAGACATTCTTAATTATCGATGGCTTTATCAACATCGACATGACATTAATTAAAACAGTCCAACATGTCATTTCAGTTACCCAATTATGAAATATTGAGTACATTTACGTGGCAAATTTCATAAGAGTCATAGTAATAGACCTACATGACTAAAGATATTTCGAATTTCAATTTGAGTACGAATTGTTTTTATTAATTTTAATAATAAAAAAAAATATTATTTCTGATAAATGCTCAAAATTTTAATTTCTGTGTTGTTTATAAGAATATATCTTTGATTACAGATACTATATTTCTTACATAATACAATTCCAATTCCACCGGTCCTTATGTCAGTTAGCCAACGAGTACAGCCCGGGAGACTCATCTAAACTCCTCTCAGCTTGTGATATTTACAAAAGCCAGCCGGCTGGGGAGGCCTTAGGGTAAGTTATCTGCTCAAATAATAATAATAATCATGGATAATCTATACAAGGCCATGTAGTCCTGAACTAAGCAGAGCTTGTGTTATGAGAACTAGCCAACGGATATTAATACTCAGATGCATTTTTTTTGTAAATATAAATGTATATAACATTGAAAATATCCAGATTAATACAAACAACAATATTCAAGTTGGCATCGTGTGAGAAATACAACCCGCGTCCATCGGGATTAAAGCGTTATGCTCAACCACTATACCATCAAGGAAGTCTATAAATACTCGTCTTAAATTATATACACTATTATTATTATATTAAATTAAATACACAGTATTAGCGTCCGTCCTGCTTTTGTACGGGTGTACATTCGGCTGTCGTACTTGTCAAGTACCCTAGTACTTCTGCATAACTTTGGGTTAGATGGCGCTGTGACTTGTCCTGAGTTCTTATTATGAATTATTTGTACTAGTAGATTAGTACCCATAGTACCAACTCTACTTAGTTTGGGAAATATATGGATCTACATATGTGTTATGTCCTAGGTATTTAATATGATTGTATAAAATAATGTGTGTAATGTTTTTTTATTGATTTTTATACAGAATTTTAATAAGATTACCATTCTGCACTCTCTCTACCATAAACTATAAGTGTGCGACATTTCATAATCCTAATTTTCGTAAAAGGTGCTACAACGTTTTTGCTTCACGTATTAATGTATAGATAACTTTGTAAATAGGAAAATGCTTCAAATGGGCTCATCAAAACCATGGCCTGATGCTATGGAAGCATTAACCGGACAAAGAAACATGGACGCCAGCGGTGTGCTGGAGTATTTTGAACCTTTACATGAATGGCTGAAGGCTGAAAATGAGCGTAGTGGAGAATACATTGGATGGGAAGCGAGTAATATTGGTGAATATTTATTTAATTAACCATTTTTACTCATCTTTCTTAATTATTTCAAGTTCTTTTTTTGATATAATTGAAATGGTAAACTAGATTGCAGATAGAAAAGGAAAAAAAAGATCATCAACTCATGAAAAAGCGCAAACATGTATATATGAAACTTTGTTTTTTTTTTCAGAATATTGTTCAGATGAGCAACGTATGGCAATGGAGGAGTTTGGTTTCAATGAGAGACTGAAGAAATACGCTGCATTGTAAATACATATCAAATTCATAAATTAAATTATTAAGTACATATTTAAATAAATTATTAGGTACACGTTTATGAATTGGCAATTGTTTTATTAATCCTCTTTAATCACAATCAAACTACGTCAAATACTCCTGCCTATTTATTATTCTATATTACATCCAGCATATATATTTTTTCATATTTATTTCAGACTATTAATGACCCATATAATAAATACTTTATAGACTAATATACATGTGTAATAATAATATAAATAAATATAAATATTCTCTGTGGTCATGACACTGACTACGTTAATCTGCCACGGTTGCGCCGATGCACCACCCTCTTCGGCTAGTCCTCCTTTATGAATGTGGCAGCATGTTAGTGGGGACCCGGGCTACAAACGCCTTGAAACTCGCGTTGGGAATCGATCCTTGCTGCGTCAGTCCCAATGCCAGGTTACTCTTAATGCTTATGTAGTCGACAATGTCCTGCTCCTTGATGACGTAGTGTATGCGGGACAGGTACCTTCCATATCATATGATTATTATCATAATCATAATATATCATATCATTATATTTTTTTTAATATATTTGAGGCATCTTAATAATAATATCCCAAGACGATTGATCGTCGTGTAGGGCGCCCTAAATAACGAAGGAAGTGAGCAATTACCTTCAATTTCAGTCTTAGTGGTTTATTATTATATAATCTTTCTATATAGGGAGAGTTAGGTTCTTTTTAATAGATGATAACGGAATGGTGCACCTCCTGCGCTAAAAGTACACGCTGGCCGGGCAACAATGGAGGATGATAAGATGAACATGAGGTCAGGTCAGTTAGCCCATCGTGATAAATTCACCAGGAATTGATCACGATGGTTTCCAGGAGGACCGCGTGGAGGTCAACTGTTATAGTACATTGTTGGATGTAACGCCATCTAGTGTGTTCCCTATTAATACGTGTTAAATGAAATTCGATGATAACGAATCTATTCGTCATCGTGACGTAGCAGTATTAGATATTGTTTGTTTAAAAAATAGAGTTCTAGTACAAAAGGTCGGACTGAAACTAAATTAAATATTATAGGTGGCATTACAGACAGTATCAATGGAGGGAAATGACTCAATGGCATGACAATTTAGCCACAGGTTATTACTAACTAGCAGCCATGACCTACTGAAAAAAAACTATAGATTCAACAGAATATGGACTTTTTTATATAGCTGGAATGCTAAAAGCTGATGGCCCACTAAATCAAAAGAGGTAAAAGTAGTATATACAATATATATATAATATGGCTCATTATTATAGTTAACTTGTAATAATACAACTATTTGGATCTGAAAAATATCTTAAACAGCGGTCTAGCACACCGCATTATGGTAGCGGGTTCGATTTCTTGCACGGCACAAACATTTGTATTCATGAGTATGATTGTTTGTACCGGTCTGGGTGTTTTCTATGTATAATATGTATTTATTTACAAAAAAAAAAATATCTATGTATATGTATCAGTTATCTAGTTTAACATAAAAAACTCTAGATGTGTGATATTATTATTTTTTTTTTCAAATATATCTAGGAGAGGAGATGGCAACATACCCCCGGTAGAAGCACAGTCGGCCGGGGTTCACCCCAAGAGAAACAAATGCTTTAGCACTTTCTGCATCTTTCCCGGGAGTTTTAGATGGTCCCAACCGTCTGAGATGTTGTTCCAGACTGGTTAAGATAAGACCGTTCACCGACATAACGATTGGATTTTTGTTGGACATCACCCCCCACATTTCGGTCACCTATTATTTTCTCTTTTTCTCAGTTTCACTATTATTGTTACTATAATAATACAACACTATTTAAGATACTTTTCAGAATTCATGTAACTGCTATAATATAAATCCATTACATTTATAAAGAAAATAAAGATTTTAAAATAAAAAAAAAGGTGGGCAAAAAGAATATGTATAACGGCAGTAATTACTAGTAATGATATAACAGAACACTGGAGATATTAGAAAATAACTAAAAACATTACACTTTTATTGGGTTAGACTAAGTTAACTTCAGAAAGTAAAGCAAATTTCTTAAAACAACAGTCAACCAAAATGCGTCTTACAAAGGAAGCTGCTTAGCAGCTGAAACAGGTGACACAATTTATGCTAAGTCCGCTTGTATTAAATCTCCCACAACTCCCCTCTGTGAGAAGGGAAGAGATTGTTAGTAATTCGGGCTAACCACAATACCAAAATAGCCCCTGCCAGGTTGACCTCCACGCAGTTCCTCCTGGAAACCCTCCATGGTAAATTGTCATTTCACAAGATGGGCAAACTGAAGTGACTTCATGCTCAATTTATGATTCTCTATTGGTACTGCCACCGTGAACCGTTAGTGCAGGAGGGTGCACCATTTCATTATCTATACATATATATATACATATAAAAAAAATTGGAGTGTCTATTTGTAATATTGAAATAACCGTTTTTTACTACGTGCATGAGTGTATGTATATGGTACATATATTAAAATAACAATTTTTATAAATTTTTGTCTGTCTGTGTGTTTATTCTGGCTAATCTCTGAAATGGCTGAACCGATTTTGACGGGATTTGTTTTGGCAGGTAGCTGATGTAATAATGAGTAACTTAGGCTATTTTTATTTTAGATAAATAAAGTTAAATTCCACGCGGACGAACAGCTAGTCACCTATAAAAAAAACCGATCTCACAGCTAGAAGTGTGGGTTGTATCAGTTTAAAAGTTCAATACAATATAGGGCGTCAACATATTCACCCAAACCAATATCTTAATGTATTTTTTTAATGCCATCATTGAAGGACTGTTTTTTTTATTGTCAAACAATGTAGTATTTTTTGTGCGGCACTTATTTTCCGGTCCACTTGTCTGTCTGACAAGGCCTTATGAATGATTTATCTTTTGGTACGCAAATTATGCAGAGATACGCTTTTAGAATAACTCTTTGTGTTTCTAGTAACTCAATTTAAACTGTATTAACAAAGTCATAATAATAATAATCTAAGGACAATTCACACAGCGCCATCTAGACACAAATTAAGCTAAAGCTTGTGTTATGAGTACTAGATAACTGATACTAATAATATAGACTTTTGTAAATATAATACATGCATATTATACATAGAAAACACCGAGACTGCAACAACGATACTCATGAGTACAAATGTTTGTGCCGTGCAAGGAATCGAACCCGCGACTATCGGAAGTAAGGCGGTGTGCTATACCGCTAGACCGTAGAGACCGTCAAAAGTCATATTGTCAATAATAGTAATAATAATATCTCAGTACAGTACACACTGTCACCAAATTCCAAGCTAAGCAGAGCTTGTGTTATGGGTACTAGAAGACTAATATAAATACATAGACACATGTTTTTTGTAAATACATACATATATTATACATAGTAAACACCCAGACCGGCACAAACAACCGTACTCATGAATACAATAGTTTGTACCGTCCGAGGTATGAACCCGCGACCATTAGAAGTAAAATGTACTTAACCATTAAACCACCGAGGCCGCCGAAGAAATAAATTTACATTTTTTCATGTACATCAACCCACTGAGATTTCGCAATCTAATTCACATAACAAAAGCATTCCAGCTAAACCAGTGATTCTCAAAGTGCTCTATATCGACCCCCAGGGGGGGTTATGACAAACTGCAAGGGGTCTACGACAGCGGTCATCTTGTTTTTACTTTATATTTTTAACACTAAACTTTATTACAGTTAGAAATTTATAAAAAATCAATACCAGGTAAGAATATAATATAAATAATGCCATATTTTTCGGTTTTGGATAGACCCTGGGAGGTCTAAAAGTATGGCAATGGGTCTACGACACAAAAAAGTTTGGGAACCTCTGAGCTAAACTATATTACTACCAACTATTGACCCATTGATACACAAATAGTGCTAATTAAACCTTAAGAGCGGCTACTACGGGTCAAGGTTCCGTAGTGGAGTGAGTACAGTTTTCTCTTGTATCTGTTGTTATAGGTTTTTGCAGATATTCAGACAGATATCTATTCTAATCTATTCTCCCAAATTTGAATTTAAATGAAATAGTATTATTGTAAATATGTACAACATTAAAAAAAAAAATACGAGCTGAGTTTCTTGTCAGATATTCAGACAGATAGATAAAACGTTTATTGCCAATATTAATCAAATTATAAAGACCTAGCTGTGCCAGCGATGTCACATGCATAAAATATATAAAAAAAATCTTTACTAGTCGTGCCTGCGGTTTCACTCGTGTTAAATTTCAATAAAATATATAGGCTATATGTTAACCTATTACACTGTAAAGTTTCAACAAAACCATCACACACACACACAGCGAGGAATCGAACTCGTGAAATCGTAAGTAAGACAGTGTGCTAAATCGCTCGAGTACCGAGGTCGTCCAATGGAAATTTACAATAATAATGGAATATATATATTCTATAAATGGAAATGTTTTTGTAATTGTTTCGATTAATAAATTATATATAGATATCATTTACTAGCTATAGCCGCGACTTCGTCCGCGAGTGGCCTTTGATAGCATAAAATATTGAACAATCTAACACAAAAAAAGCCAAAGAAAAAAGTTTCAACATTCAAGCTTCCAAAATGACGTATTTCCATATATAACTTTACCCCCTTATGGATGTTATTTTAACAAACAAGAATCTCATATTTATTTATACGTAATCAGAAATAAGTTTTATGCTTCTAGCTTTAAAAATAACAATACTCGCATCTCCCCTTTTAACTCCTTACAAACCTTTTTTCGCATTAAATAGTAGTCTATACCCTTCTAGATTATCTGTATACCAAATTTCATTTAAATCGGTTCAATAGTTTTGGCGTGAAAGCACGACAAATAGACAGACAGAGTTAATTTCGCATTTATAGTGTTTATATATATATGTGTATATATATATATAGATTAATAGAATAACATAATAATTTATTTACGAACAATATGAGTATGCGTAAACAGTTTTTAATATGCTAAGCGAGTACTACCATGACATATATATAATATAGTAGTACGTACGTATGTTGGTCTGTTCCCACGGTAAACTGGCACAATAGGAAAATTGCGTATCGCATTTCAAGACGTTAGCCAGAATACACAGAGCTGTTAATACGCTATTTGATTAATGGAAAATGTCATAAGTGACAAGTTTAAAACAATAAAATTCATAAATAACCGTGATCATATCAGACAATGGTACTTACTTCAAAAATAAGCATAGTTTGTTTTATGGATATAAACAATTTTTTTAATTTTTTCTTTTAATACACTAGTTGTATATCGCGGTGCTGACTACGTGAAATATACGCAATGTTGCTCTGTAATGATTTATTTATTTTAGGCTACTAATGTGCCATATTATAAATACCATATAGATGAACATATATATATGTAATAATATAAATATAAATATAGCTAGCTATAAATAAACGATTCAATTGAGTTTCTTGCCAGTTCTTCTCAATTGAATCTGTTTACTGAACTGTACGGAAGGGAAAAAAATGTTAAAACAAAAAATTTTACGTTCATAGGAGGCTAAAATGTTCTATATAAATAAATTTTAGATATGATTTGATCTTTTAAATTTTTTAACAAGCATTTCTTATTCATTACTAACAAATAAACATATGCAAAATTATTTATTTACACAAATGTATGTATCATTAACCAAGTAGACATATTTATCAATACGAGTTTCTTGTATTGCGCGGGATTGAACCCGCGATCATCGGTAGATGAAGCTCGAAAAAGTATATTTATATGACTGAAAATATATTAATATTATTTGTCTATATTCTAACTGAATGTCAAATACAGATATTACTCTGTGATTATAGAGGTAGTCTGTAAAAATAAATCTTTAATAATGTTAAAACGTTCGAAAATCGACTTATATTTCAACTAATTATGGTCGAATTTCTGTCACTCGGCGACCATTAGTATCTAGAAAAATATAAATGTAAGAATTTCTTAAAGAAAGCTTTCTTCAAAGCGGTTCTTACTGTCTACCCCGTTACATTAATTGAAGATATAGAAATATATATTCATGCAAATGTTTACCCGGGACTTAAGTTTTACAATGACTGTATACTAGGGCATCATTTCCTCGCGGTAATAGGGTTGTCTACTATCTATAAATACTAATAAAGTAATATTTTAAATTTATTTGAATCTAATTTAATTAAATCTGATTAGAAATCTTAACTGAATCTAATTAAAAAGGAGATATTACAATAACTATGACACAACGGCGATTGTAAAATAGAAACTAAACGAAGAAACCATTTCATTTTATTTCTTGGATATAATGAAAAATAAACGGAATCTTAATGATATTATCTAATATTATATTATCTGTGGTAATACTGTTTAATGATTAGGGAAAAATAAAAATGTTGTACCATCCTTACTAAATAATACTACTTACTTACTAAATATACACTGTACTTTTTGGTCTGTTTGACTGCACCTAAATATATTTATTATATTCGTTTCCGAATAATCATATATTTTTTTTATCAAAAAATTATAAAAAATCAATAATATTTTATATAGTACTATACTGAAGTATACATATATAAATCTCTTATTTAATATTTTTTATGAAAAATATCAAAACATTAATTAATTTAAGACTGTTTCTCAGATGTGACAACCCTAGATAAAAATGAGCCACTCCGTCATAGATTCGTTATCACTTTCTACTCCACGCCCCTAACTTTAAACTAAAGCATTAACGTATTGTACATCGACTTCCGTGCATTAAAAAGATAAAATTTACTAACCTTTATTTTCAAAGATTGTTTTTAACTCGTCCACTAACAGCCTTATCGTGAGTTGAGGTCAGGGATGCCAACCTTACGAGGATTCTTGTACAAATACATCGTACAAATATGGGCTTTAGTCCGAAAATATTTTCACCATTATACAAGTTTGTACGAGACTGCGATGGTACGCGTACGTGATAAGAAGACCACCTAACTACGTTGGCAATCTGACGCTACAGCTTTCCATCCCCGGTAAGAGGTAGAGGCAGAACAAGGAAGGGGTGGGAAGATGTAATTGCTGGAGATATGGTGGAGTGCGAGGTTTCTGAAGACGATGTCTGCGACAGGGAAAAGTGGCGGAGAAAAACAAGGAAAGCTGACCCCACCACCATGTGGTATACACAGCTGGTGAAAGAGAGAGATACAAGTTTGTACGTCATTTTGACCCGGTCAAAATTGAACCGGTCAAATCAAATTAAATCAAATCTAATTTATTTGCACTATTTGCTTGTCAAAATACTATGATCTACGAAGTTAGAGCTTAAGTTGTTTAAGTTGCAAAAGTTATTTAAAAGAAACACGCAGGTTTCTTTGTTGTTCTTCTTGTGATAAGACAGCTTTCCGAATAAATAACAGTTGATTAAAAAAATTAACTATTCTAATGTGCTTAAATTTAAGTTTTATTTTTGCTGTGTGAATTCTCCAGCTTCTTTTCTATCTTTTGAATTATAATTTAATCTTCTCTTCTATTTTTTTTTAAACTTTATGCACCATTAAATTTTGGTACAAAAGGCGGACTTAATATAGGCATTCTCTACCAGAAACCATTACTGTTTTTGTTTTCTTCATACGATGTCTTAAGGTTGGCAACCCTGGCAGAGGCGCAAGCACTAATTGTCAAACGGTGTAAAGCGTGCGCTAGGGACGTTGCGCCTGCGCAGGTTATGCAACACAAATGGTAACATTCTTATATAAGTAACATCATTGTGTGTAAATCAAGTCCCTCGGGAAAATACTAAGCATAATGGACGTTATATGAGTTTTACTTGTCAACAATTAAGGTACAAGTAAATACAATAATGTACTTATTGTATTGAATCTGTAGTCACCAAAACACTGAACATGAAAATGTAAAAATTTTAGACTAAGATATATTTTTATTTATTTATTTCAAGCTACTGATGGCCCATATTAAAAATACCATCCAGATTAACAGGTCTATGTATTAATATTATAATACTAATATAAAATTGTCTGTGTGGTCATGCATTGCCGACGGCAATTTTGCCACGGTAGCGCCGATACACCACTCCATTCTGTACTCATTTTGCCAGAAAAAAGATTCAAATGTCTTATGAAATAAATCTTTATAAAAAAGCTTATTACAAAATTGAAGAATTTATAAATGATAATAATGTTTTTGTAGAAAATATCTAACTTAAAAATCATAGCGCTGACAATGTTATGTGATTGAACTGAGATTAAGTGCGTAGCGGTTTCTATGTTCATTGTCGTAAGCCTAATCATTGTTAATGATAATCTAATTAAAACAAAATTTATTTAAAAGAGCAACACACACGTTTCTTGCTCATTCTTCGTGCGATGATTCTGCATTCCTGAATGAGAGGTAGAATAAAAAAAATGTGACTATTCAAAATGTTTATATTAAGTTTATTTGAATAAAGATTATTTCTATTCTATTCTATAATAACTATATTGTTTTACATATATGACATAAGTCAATACAATATTTTTCGACTATACCGGTGCCCTTTCTTTGCTCGTCTCGTCTTCGATCTCTATCCTTTGCATCAAATCAATTATTTCACTCAAGTGATTATTCCTGAAGGGACTACCGATGAGCGGTAGAATCAAAATAAAAAATGTGACTGTTCAAAAGTGCTTATATTATATATATATAAGTTTATTTGAATAAAGATTATTTCTATTTCTATTTCCTTCGGCCAGTAGTCCTCCTTCGTGTTGTGACTCGACTCCAGCTGCGTCACTCTCATTACATAATTGGTATTTTTAAATTTTACCATAGAATTTATACACATAACACAAGCTTACCATGGGACTAGATGGTGCTGTGTGAATTGTCCAGAGATATTATTATTATTAAGGAAAGGCCTCCAGCAAGGTGGACCGACGATCTGGTCAAGATCGCTGGAGGGCATTGGATGCGAGCAGCGCAGGACCGATCGTCGTGGAGATCTTTGGGGGAGGCCTATGTCCAACAGTGGACGTCTTCCGGGCTGCGATGATGATGATGATGATTATTATTATTATTAAAATTTAAAATTAAATATAAATAGAAGCGTATGTGAACAAGCCTCCTAGATAGCTTATTCAATAGCCTATGTTTAAGATTATTGTAAACACTAGTTCTTGATAAATGATTGATGATGTTATAATTAGATATTATAAATGGTCATTAATGATTCGATCCACTGCATTAAATTATTCTTCAATGACGTTCACGGGTGATGATTTAAGACTGGATTATAACTTTTAATACATTTGGATTCTGTTGAAATTTTACTTTATTATTTGGCTTACTCAATACTTACTCAACTAGTAACTTAATATAACCTAAAGTAATAAGTATCAGAAATTTTGTCTGATTGTGGGTCTAATTAAAGAATTGGTTTTTTGGTGTTTCTTATAGTGGTTCTGAAATCGAATTTCAGAACCACTTTAATTAATTTCTGTACTGTTTTCAATAATGTATTGTGGTAAGCCTCAATTGTTTATTATTTGTTTATTCTTATCGGTTTACAAACAATAAAATCATAAATCTATAATCTACATAGATCTAACTTATTATTATTACTCTAAACTCTATGGCAAACGAAATCGCAGGCTCGGTAGTCATTAATACATATAAATATTCATTAAATAACTATCACAGTGTACTACTGATAAAAACTTATGACGTATAGAAAAACAAAGGCTTTTCACACGGCCCTACTTCAGAGGCAGGCTGCAACCAGGCACAGTTGAAACCGCGTCGGCAACCAAGCACCACGCACCATTGGTTGCAGCACCCGCGAACGCTATCCAGGTCAAGTGTCAATATGGCCTGTGTTCAAGGCAAAAGCCTTATCATCTACTTCCAAGTGCATATCTTATTAAATTTGTGCTTCGCCGAACCCCAATTGGACTTACCCCCATTAAGCCAGTCGAGCACACCAAGATACGGTGGTTATGGATTACTATCCAGTACACAATCCTCAATAAACTCGCCAGGAAACCAGTTTGATAGGAACTTTCAATATTCAACAGCTCGCCCGAATCAGAACAGTCCCGGCGTATTCCCGGTGTCCTCAACGCCTTACAGCCAAATTAATCCTGATATCAGTAACAATGGTTATCCTAATAATAATTATGGAAGCTCCACGCTAAGACCTGATGATAGGAATCGGGATGACAGAATCGATGTAAACAACGATCCCAATTTCAGAAGGAATGACCCCAATTTTATAAGGAACGATCCAAATTACGTAGGTTCTAATCCATATGAGTTTAATAATAATAATATCGACGAGAGACTGCATGCAGTCAATTTGCAGCAGATAAGAGATTTTCTTTTGAAAGCTGATGACCAGGCATCGAAGGAGTGTACCAACAATGTGGCTGCCCAGTGGAACTTTGAGACGGATGTGAATGATGCTACTCAACATGCCGCAGTAAGTGTATAGTTTTTTTTAAAGAATATAAAATATATATTTGTGTACACAGAAACTATCTTGGGATTTTGTTTTATACATTGGAGTTTATTATTCCTTAAGTTTTAGTAGTAGATGCAAAATAATCGTAGATGAAAATCTAGAATTATTATTAGAAATTCTCACATATAATTTACAAATAATCCATTTGAACGGTTCTTCTAAAATTGCGGATTAAATAAAATTGAAGTGCAACAGCACTTTCACTTAATGCATATATACGGTACATACATCAAAAAATTGATTTTAACGATACATTTTTGTCTATTTTACTTGCTAATCTCTAAAACGGCGGGTTCTTTAAACAGGACTTCTCGCAAGGAGCTAATGTTATAGGGCACGTGGAAGAAGATTTGATATACTACATTACTAGTAGTCATGCGTCTAATCCCCATTACTGGGGGATGACGATTGTCAGCAATCTGCACACTGTGTAAAAACTTCATTTATAGCAATGTACGATATCAGGTTCAACTCCACTCGCTCCTGGAAACCATCTTGATAAATTCCTAGTGAATTTGCCTCGGCGGGGTAAGAGACCTCATGTCCATCTTATCATCCTTGTCACTGGTACACCCGCCAGCGTAAACCGATAGCGCAGGTGGGTCCTCCATTCCATTGTCATCTTCAAAAAATCCCAATTACTAATAATCCTTTCCCCTATAGAATAATATTACAATATGCAAATCGTACTCCAATAAATTAAAGTTTAGCAGCGGGCGGAGTTGAACTTACACCCACGCTAAGGCGGAGCCAGTAAATTAACTATAATACCATAGTACCTAAGCATTATCATCATTACATAATATAAAATAAAGTCGCTGTCGCTGCCTGTCCATCCCTATGTATTCTTTCTTAAATCTTTAAAACTACGCAACCGATTTTTATGCGTTTTTTTTTAATAGATAGAGTGATTCAAGAGGGAGGTTTATATGTATAATACATCCTGGCGAAGCCGGGGCCAGTAGCTAGTTATATTATATGTATAAGTAATAACCATTTGCTCTTCAAATATATTTTTCTTAATTTATAATTTACGTTCAATTATGATTCATTCAAACTTTGATTTTCTAATAAATATTTATTTATATATTTTAGTTATTGTAATGTGACAATTTTACACTACCAACAAAAATAATTCACGACATTTTTAGAGTAACAGATACACTTTATTACAATATTTACAAAAGAAAAAAAAAAATTCAAATTAAACAAGATGAATGCTTGTTAGTATGCCCAAGTATTGATACCACACCCTAATGGCCAAGCTAATATTGAAATAGAATTAGAAATACTATTTATATAAAAGAACTTAATATAAGCATTTTTGAATAGTCACCTTTTTTTAATCTACTCATTCGGAACGCAGACTCATCACAATTCCCCTGGTGTTGCGGGAGCTCATTGGCTGCGGTAATCACTTACCGTCACTTACTATCCGCAACCTCGTTTGTCCTCTGTGCTATAAAAAAACGTAAGAACAAGAACCCTGTGTGTTGCTCTTTAAATAGATGTTGTTCAGTTTCAATTTTAAGAATTTTCTGTTAATACAAATTGCTAAATAGAAAATAAATCAGTCCTAGTAATCAGAGCAGACCAGTCCCTACAAGCGGCACCCGTTCACGAGTATAACTGTTGATCATGATAGACTAAGTCTTAAATCTAAGGTATATTTCTACTAGAAATAACCTTAAAACTGCTTATTAACTGCCATATTCAAGTAGTTACAAACTAATCGCAGTGAATACACGAGATCGGTATCAAATAAACAATGCAGTAGCTCTTTATATTATATGACGTGTATAACAATAGTATGAGAGAATCACATGTTTACTGTTTGGATTTAACTGGTAGTAATCACATAATTCTTATAATATTATATGTAGACGCGGATGTTTGGTGTTTGTATCCGAATTCGCAATTAAACACCTTTTGATTGAACCTCGGTGGTCTAGTGGTTTAGCTAACTGCTTTATTTCCGATGGTCGCGGGTTTGATTTCTCGCACGTTGGCAACATTTATATTCATAAGTATGATAAAGTATATACAAACAATATAGGTTTGGGTATTTCTATGAATATAATGTATGTATTTGAATGAAAACGTATTTAAGTATTTGTATCTGTTGTCTAGTACCCATAACACAAGCTCTGCTTAACTTGGGACTAGATAACGCTCTGTTCATTGTCCAGGGTCATTATTATAGCTTAGCTACACTTACACATAACTTCGTATACAACTAGACCTCATTTAACATTAGGCAAATAAATACATAGAAAACACTCAGATCAATATACAATTATACTGATAGATACAAATGTTTGTACCGTGCGAGGAATTGAGCCCGCCACCGAAGTACAGCGTTGTGCTTATCCACTAAAACACCGAGGTCGTCTAATTATTTTGTAAATATAAATTCTTCTTGAATAATACGATTAAATACACTGTACAGCCGTGCGAACCCGTGTTGGATGGCTAGTACATGTATGTATGTACCACGTGCACTGGAAAGTTTCCGGGTGTGCACCGTGCACTAGTTTCTCACAAGCACACACAGAACAATGCACACGATTTCAATAGATATAAGTACAAGTTTCCTTGCAATATGAAACTCTCTTCGCATTTTTTTGTTCGAAGAGAGTCGGTATTGTACTGAGAAAATGTCAGGCCATCTTGTTTCTAATGGAAATGATTATTGTACTTGACGGGGGAAAGTTAATGAAGTCTAAAATAAGCGTAATTAACTGGCTAAATCCCATGGATTCGCGTGAAAATTCCGCTAAAAGCAGGCTGTATGTTATCAAATAAAAAAATCGTTTATTCATGTAGGACATTTTAGCTGCTTATGAACGTCAGGGTTTTTGTAATTAATATTTTTTTCCCTACCGTCCATTTCTATAGAAATCATTGAGAAGAACTGAAAGGCCGTAAACTCAACTGGTTTTTTTTTGTAAAAGGTCTGTTTATACGCGTTTTATGCTTATATAGGTTATATAAATATGTGTATGTATGACTAACATTAAATGACAATCCCGTGCATGAACGACTATTGCCATGCACGCTCGTCATTTAAGTAATCATGTAGTAAGTAATAGGCTTTGCTTAGTAAATATGATTTAACAGATGATTTAAATTTATTTAAAGATAATTCCAGTATATGCTTTGGTATTTTATTATAAAATTTTATATCCATTCCCATAAAAGGCCCATTGACTTTTCCTAAACAATACTTAGGTACAGCAAGTTTGTCTTTAAATCCTATACTAAGGTTATCGTAAGTTATAGTTAATTTTGTGTGACAAATATGAAATTCAAGTTTTATTGTTTTGCATATAAAAATACCCAGACGAATACATAAAACATACACATGTATAAAAATAGTTTCGAAAATCAAACCCGCGACCAATAAAACGTAAGGGCATATTTGTAACCGCTATAGGACCGTATTGAAAAAATATCAATAAAAACGTTAAGGACCTATCGCAGTTTGATAAGACTGACAAGTTCCCACGTTGTATGGTGTCATGCGTAACAAGAACTACCATAATCGAGCGAGATATTGATCTATGCAGACTCATGTGCGGTGTGAATAATTAAAATTATTAGTTTTTGCTCTATTATACCTTTATAATATACAAAAGTAATGATATAATTATTTACTTAATAAATAGCATGGTTAACCTACATAAAAGTAATTAGAATTGAAATAACTGTTTGTAATTTTAATTTAACAGCTTTACTTTGACAATGTGTATACTATACTTACGTAAATAATTTTGTCTGTCTGTTTATTCTTGCTAATCCCTGAAACGGCTGGGGTGATTTTGACGGGACTCTTACTAGCAAAAAAAAATGTTCCGTATTGAACATTTTTTTTAAGATAGCTATATATAATAAAAATATTTAGTATCTTAATAATGCATACCGTGCGAAAATCGAACCTGTAACCAGAAGTCAAGCAGTGTGTTGAACCGCTGGACAACGAATCGTTTAAAAAAGTAAATACCACTGTTTAAACTAAACTGTCATTCATAACGCGTAGGCCAATTGAAATCTATATCCTGAATGCTCCAGAACTAATTACAAATGATCAATCCACCATAAAGGTTAGCATGATTAGTTAATTTACTTACAAAACGTTCGTAACACCATTGTTTGGCGACAATGGACGCAATGGCGGACGTTGGGTACCAAATGGACAATATGACCGACAGAAATCGGTTATAGGACGCCTATAGTCTGTTACCTATATTGAAATTCATTAATCAGCATTAAAATCCAGATGTTCTAGATTTGAGTTGTTTGACTATGTAAGCTCAACAAAAATCTGCACATTTTGGTAAGCTGAAGATGAAACACCACTCTACATCTTATGTGTTTATAGCCCACTTATACATAAACAAAATTACTCCTTTGGTAAGTATATACTCTATCCTGAGGAAATAAACCATCGCTCCTAAGAATATCCTTCTATCCTTCGATTCTATCATTGGCGGATCTAGGTAGAGAACTTTGAAAAAGGTGGAGCACTGTAGATCTATATAGATCGCAGTGCTATAAGTCTAAAACAGATTGGTCCAAAACTAATTTAAAAAGAAATACTAAATGACTTGAAAATCAGTGTTTTTTTTTCATAATAATTAGGAAGGCAAAGAGTCTATTAGATTATTTGATGGAAAATGACAACCGTCGCGTGGTCTATATAAAAATTCAGGAACAACTGTTACTTAATGGATTTATACTTCTTTAGTTCCGCTACCATTCGCATGTGTGAGACCAGAAATATTCAGTGCGAAAATTTAATAGTCAACACTAGACTTCCAAAGATATATCCGATCTCTATTCAATTCCTGATGTTGATTCGTTTAGAAGCGAACAATGTCGCAATATGGGTGTAGATTCAATAACGGAATTTCACTAATAGATCACTAATAGAAAAGGTCGTGGCGCTTCCAGTAGCA